ACGAATAAGCCTGTTTTACGGAATTATTGCTTAAACAAGAATAACTGTAGGGAGCCACCTTAAGTGTATTAAATTAACTAAGAAATTATTTTCACCGGCCAAATCTGTGTAAGACACATCGCCAGGGCTAAAACAAAACAGTAAATCTTATGACCACAAATTTTTCAAAGGTTTTTTATGACTTTGATGTCCAATGTTGAAATTAAAAAAAATTCGTACTATCCATCCCATGAATTATCTTACCTGTGAAACGAATTACTCGTCCTTTTATTATGTAAAGTAAATTGTTGCATCAGCAAGCGGAGCAAAACGGCACTTTAATTCCTTCCAAGTTGAAAAAAACCCCAGCAAAATACGAGAAAAATATATTATGTTTTTAACTAAAAACACTGCCAAAACCAGGGGGGGTGAAAACGTCGTCTGAAGTTCAGGATCGCGGTTGTATTAATAATAATAATAATAATTTATTTAAATGCATGACCTAATTACAGGTATTGCTAGAATATTCTATAAATATATATATAATTACATACAGTACAAGGTATTGAAGAAACGAACATATATAAAGTGAAAGTGTCATTATAGTGATTTATACATCTATTTTATGGATAATATAGATCGTATTCGTAGTTTCTAAGTAAGGGTTTTTTTATGAAAGATTGGAAAACAATTTGCAGTGTGATTTTCGCAATGAATTTGACATTAGCTGCAGTCGTTTTTTATTACGTATTTCCACGGGTTTGAGGCTATTTTCTCGCTCTGTTAAGCAGAGAGAGATAAATTTAGTGAATAAGTTAATGAGAACAATGTCATTTGAGGACATTAGATGTTCTAGTAGTTTTTGTTTAGTCTGAGATGTTGTACTCAATTGGAAAACATCTTTTAATATGTCATTTGTATTGTTTCTTAAAGTTTCATCTGTTTTGCATGCAAAAGCAACATGAAATTCATCTTCTACTTCGCCGGAGTTACAAAGTTTACATAGACGTTGTTCGCGTGGAATGTTTTTGTATCGCCCGTATTCAATTTCGAGTTTGTGATTACTGATTCTAAATTTTGAGAAATTTTTTCTTTGTATTGGGTTTTTATAAGATGTAGATAGTCTTCTAGTTTATAATCTTTTTTGAATTGACAAAAGAAGGACAGTTTTGGAGATTTCGTTATTTTGTGTTTCCAAAATTCGACATATTTTTCTTTTATTCTATTCACTATGGTTTTTGTATATATCGATACTTCTTAGGGCAATTTCAATATTAGTTGTTTCATCATCTTGAGAATAGTAAGGTTTTAACATGTTCATAGCGTTTGAGTAAAATGATTCTTTTCCATTTTTGTACAGGTCTCTCGAAACAAATAAGGCCTGTTTTAATATTGTTGTATCAGGTAGTTCGAGGATGTGTTTTAGGTAGTTGATTATGTTTTTTTGTATTGTGATTAAAAGCGGAAATTTTCCTAGTTCTATCAAATTTTCCTTGGTCTATCAAAACTTGAAATATATACAAAGAAATGGAAGCTCAAAATTAACAGGGAAAAATCACTGAGCTGTATAATAACTGGAGGACCTTCTCCTATACTTCGTTCAGTCAACCAAGTGAAGCCAAAAACATGGCGGACTTTGAGTGAAAATGACGCCATTTCCATGACTACTGGTCCCTAAATTCATGGTAATTGCCACTGAACAAGGCTCAAATATGAGCCCGCCGCAGTTTTCACACACCCCTGGTTTTTATTAAAATATTTCGGCTTTTTGAAAGTGAATCCTTGTTGTTTTGATATTTTCGACATATTTTTTCGACTGTTGACAATTTGCTCAAGGATGTGAAAGTCGTACACGTTATTCTCGTCCGTGAAAGACAACAAACAACTATTAAAACCTCCCAAAATGTGGACAAAAACGATATTTCAAGCCGGGTAAACAGCAGTCTATAAACTGTCTGAAATATGCAGTCAACTATAAACAGGTAAACATTTTAAAATTCACATTTTTATTTTAGTATTTCATGAAAAAATGTTAGGAATAAATGGTAAAATGTACTCTATTTTTTAGAAAATAAGCCACAAGTGTTTATAATGAGGTTGTAGTTTTGTACATAAACCTTTTTGTATTAACTTTATGCAATATTTAATTTCATCCCTCGCAATATCGAGTTGCACAGTACATGTATATGAATTAAGAGATGAAACTATGATGTGCTGGTGTATTAAAGAGGAAATTAAGGTTTTATATATTTAGCCAAGGGTTTTGTTATGCATGAACATGATGAACTTGTGGTGGACTGGTGCAGGACAAAGCTCAGCTGCCTAGTAGGGGCAGCTGATCTGAGTGAATTGAGAAGGCATGTTTTATATCCAAGATTGTACATTGTAGTTTTAATAATATGTGCTCTCTGATAGTTTGTTGTATGTATCTCTAAAAGGCCATTAGCTTGTTTGCCCCATCCCTCAAATATTAAGTTAATTGTCTCTAGTTCTGCCATATTGCAGTAAGTGCATTACTAAGAGAGACTTCACTGTGTGGTTATTTTAATATTTTTATAGTGGAAATTCCTTTCAGTTTGCATGGATAACCTGACTGGCTCAGTTTGAGATCTCACTTGATAGTGAGGCGGATATGTGTAAAATTATTGACCAGTAGTTCCCGTTGAGGTTAAAAGCATCAAACTTTTACAATTGATGTAGTTTTATTTGCTGGCTCAGTTTGAGATCTCACTTGATAGTGAGGCGGATATGTGTAAAATTATTGATCAGTAGTTCCCGTTGAGGTTAAAAGCATCAAACTTTTACAATTGATGTACTTTTATTTGCTTAATAGATATTTGAAGTGGGGCCATTGCTATTTTGCTGCTAACTCCTGAAAACGGGTGATTAGTGATTTTCTTCTATTGAATTCTATAAAAGCCAAAACATGTGAAATTGTGTATTCAATTACAACAAATATGACTTGCATCATCAGAAAGCTTATAAAAAACTGCATATAAGACATTTAGACAGTTTTTTGATTTCTGAAATAGTTTTCGAATTATAAACTGTTAAAAACGCATTTTCAAACATCGAATAATTATAATTAGGGACTTTTAGCGAGATAATGTGTCTAATTTACAGCAATAACCATTTGAAGAATCAAAAAACTGTTTAAAAGTCTTTTATATAGTTTTTTTTACAAGCTTTCTGATGATGCAAGTTATATTTGTCGTGATTGAATTCAAAATTTCACATTTTTTGTTGTAGTAGAATTTAATAGTAAATAATGCTAATAGTATCGTAACTCTCTAAAAAAAATCAGTTTCACGATGGCCCCACTTTTGCATGTTGTTCTACTCATAAAAAGATGCTACTGTGCACAATTTGGTGCTTTTAACCCTCTTCGGAAACATCCATGCACATATCCGCCACACTATGAACAAGACAAGAACTCTAAATGGTTAGACAAGGTCAAAAATGGTCAAAAATGAAGTCAAAACAACAAAATTGGTCATGAAAATATTGGCAAAACAATAGAGATGCAGAATTTTCCAACAATGCATGAGTCCATGCCATGCACTGTTGTTTTACTGTTAATGAAACTCAGTACCAAGCAACATGTTTGTAAATTAAAGATTCAAAATCTTGATTAATTAATTAATTTTGTATTATTTTTATAATTAAACTTGGTCAAAGAATAATTATCAAATTAATAATTATAACTGTACAATCAAGTTACATGTGATAGAGTATTATTATAACTGTAGCTCCATGGGCTATTCTTTCATTTCTTTGGCTGTTCCCTGTTTTGATGCCTTGGGCCATTTCTTGTAGTACATATAACATATGCCCAAAACATTTTGGAGAAAAGTCATTGTTAGTTTTCCAGTTACAGTAGGTCTGGCAAGTCCACTACGTCACACCACTATTCTTGTTATTTGAACATTCCAAAGAACTTGTCCACATGACTTACATCACCGGATCACCCTAAATGAGAAGGGACAGTCAATTATATTTATAAAATAGTGACAGCTAGTATCATTAGAACACACTTTGAAGAAATAGTGAGTCACATATACCAGGCTCCAATTACAGGGAAATTTAACCCATTGAGCACCAGTGCTCTCTTGTTGGCAAGTAAAATTGTTGGTGTTAGACAAAGTAACACTAACATATAAAGTAGGGTGCAATGCAATTGAACCCATTGAGTGGCAGCACTCTCCACTTGATGAGTAAAATCGTCCGGCATTAGACAGAGTAAAATATTGTAGTAGGGCGCATTGCCACTTAAAGGATTAAAAATGGGTTCATTACGGGTCAAATAAATTGATTCAAGCATTTTTCACATATGAATTCTGGCATTTATAAGCCCTGGCTTGCAACCAACTTTAAAGCATACAGCAGTTAATGGCACCCAAGCTCAGACTGTCTAATGCCTGGCAATTTTACTTGTCAAGGGGACAGTCTTGTCAATTAATTGTATTTCTTAACTCCCCAAAGTTTCATTTTATATTTAATTACAATATATATCACAAATGATGTTGCAGATCTAAGTGAGAAGGTTCACAACAATCACAAATAATACGTCTAACTGAAATGTTGAGTTCTACTCCAAAACTGGGGACACCACCACTGAAACCTGAAACTGCTCTCAAAGCCTGTTTAGCTTAAACGTTGGTTAAGCTCAAAATAGAAAGCAAGTCCATGGATTCATTCAACAACCCAACTAAAAGTTTTGAACCTTAATAGAACGATAATGTTTACAACTACATATTCAGTGCAGAATATTTAAGTTGACTGATTCATGACTCACGAGAAATTAAGCTAAACAGGCTTGATACAACCAGCCCCTATCAAATAATATAAGCCCATGGGCATGTACACACAGGGGGCTTATATTCGGAATAGCCTGAGCGTTAGCAAGTATGGTGGGATTATACACAGGGGGGCTTATATTGGGGGGCGGGGGCTTATATGTTTTTAGTATAAATTTCCAGGTGACTATTGTTTTTCTGCATTCTGATTGGTCAAGATTCACTGTCTCTGAAGTGATAGTCACTGGTCAGTGACTATAGCTTTTTTTTCAAAATGGCTGCTCGTTTTGCCGTAGTAACAGAGGAGGAAATTGCCAAAATTAAAGAAGATAGCATTCCCAAAAAATCCAAACAAGCTACAAAATATGGTTTAAAAATATTTCAAGGTAAAATATTAAACTTTACGTGCTTTTATTTGGAAAAAAACTGGCTTAGTCGCAACGCGACACAGAGCCGTGTCTGAGATTTAAATTTTGTAAACAAACTATTTATAGTGAAAATAAATTTATTTGTAGTGAATTTTTATAATGTTGTGTGGATTATTGTTTGTAAACACCTGGAAATTTATACTAAAACAATTAGTCACCTCAGGCTCGGTGATTACAAGCCTATATTCACTTCGCCTTCGGCTCAGTGAATATAGGCTTGTAATCACCTCGCCTTCGGCGACTAATTGTTAAATAGTAATTCCTTGATTGCAATGGGTATACTATTGAATGGTTTGAACCTGATGTCTTTGGCCTAGCTAGCAAAGCATTTGTTCACTTGTCTGCATGTCGTGCAAGTGAGATTTAATATAACTACAGGGTACACAGCAATTATAAACAACTGCTGGCAGGAACCTGGCAAGGATATCATTCAAAGTTTGTCAAGGAAAATTTAATATACTAAAATACTAAATAAATACAAGTGTGCACACAGTATACAGCAAGGACTTTGAAATCATAACCAGCTATAAAACCCTACGCAAATACAGAGGGCCGAGGCTAGTGCCAAATCAAAAGATCAGTGAAATTAACATAATTGCCAACCATTTACAAGTTGTTCTGTCTGCTATTAATTTGCTGTTCATATACTTTTATGTTCGTAGTATAAACTTTGTAGTTTGTACTGTCTGTACTTCTGCTTGACTGCTTCAAATTTTCTAGAATATATAAAATTCTTACCGGTGAATAAAAATATTCTTCTTGTACATCTCATACATCTACGAGCGGCGCAAAAAGGCAGGATCCTCGACGTTGTAAATCAACCAAGTTATAGGAGAAAAATATCAAGATTTTCAGTGCGATTTTTACCTCGAAAACAAGCGAAATCATAAAATTTCTGTGCTGAAACCAGGGGGGTGAAATACATCGTCGAAAGCTTAGGATCGGGGTTGGGACAGTGGTAGTTGTCATGAATCTAGGGACCAGTAGTCATGGCAATGGCGTAAGATCCGCCATGTTTTTGGCTTCACCTGTTGATGCGGAGCAGGTCCTCCAGTAATATAGTATAGCTCAGTGGGAAAAATGCAAAGTTTTACTTTTTAGAACATTGAACATATACGACGAAAATCCCCTAGAACAGGTGGATGAGTATTGTTACCTTGGAAATATACTCTTCAGTTTTCCGGAAATTTCAAAACATGTTGTGAGGTAAAGCCATACCAGCTTACCATCGTTTTTTTCCCCAAAATTTTCAGACTTTGAAAACTTCCCAATCAAATTGCTTTTAAAAATTCTCTCGACTACAATAATTCCTTTAAATAAGTTTGAAGCGAAACCAGGATTATTCATAATAAGTTTCTAGACGTTCTCTGGTTTTTAAATATTTATTATTACGAGCTTCCGACTGCCAGTCTGCAGTCTTCAACGGGTGGATTACAATGTAGCTCAGTTGGTTAGAGCGCTGCACCGAAATCGCAGGGCTGCAGGTAATTGTAATCCACCCGTTGAAGACTGCAGACTGGCAGTCGAAAGCTCGTAATAATAAATATTTAAAAACCAGAGAACGTCTAAAACTTTATTACAATAATTCCCATTTTATTATACAATTGTGAAACTTGGGGTCCATATTTGCTAGGCAAGATAAATTCTTTTGAAATATTTAAGAGTAAAATATTCAAAGTGATCAATGAAATAGCAAAATTTCATTTAAAATTTGTTAACGTATTCTTGGGGTTCACTAAAAACTACAATTATAGCAATGTATTCTGAATTACGAAGGATACCATTAATTGCACAAACTTCTTTTCATATCGTTAAATACTGGCTACACATTAAGGATGCAAGTTTCGATAAAACTCTGGCTGCTCGAGTGTGTATGGATATGAATCTTCAACCAGCAATTTTTACGGATTATTTACTGAAAATGTGTAAATTGATGTTGGAAATTTTAGGTACTTTACAGTCCCTCATGACACTCGGAGAAATTTTTCCATTATTGAAAAATACACTTAATGAAGAATTTAAGAATTATTATAAAAAACAACTGAAAGAAAATGGAAAATGGAAGTAAAATTAAAATTAATTTTGAACTGGAAAAAATATCTAATAGAAATCCAAAATGTTAAACACCGCCAAGCTGTTACAAAATTAAGAATTTCTGCGCATAGATTACCAGTTGAAACTGTGCAGACATTGTGATCTGAATGAAGTTGGAGATGTACAACATTATGTGATGTCATGCAGAAATAAAATGTTTGCAACTTTAAGACAGGATTTCATAGACGACTTATAAAGAATCAATCATTCTTTCATATTTTTCAAGTTAGAAGATTTGTTTCTTTATGTTGGCTCTGCATGATACAAGCATCATGAGACGGTTTTCTAAATATATGATATTCTTTCAGTTTTTAATGAGATACAGTTATGTAGTTAGATATCATTGTTTATTCCTATATGTTGTAGGCCTATTCTTAATATACCATTATTGGTATTTTGATTGGAAAAAGTTATTTATTTATTTAATTTTTTATTTTTCGATACGTTTCTCAAGCGGCAAATAAACTTAAAAAGTATGTTTACTGGTTTATCTGCAAAATTATGCTAAACTGAAGAGACATGGTACATCAAAGAAAAAATGATGTGATGTCTGAAGTTCAGTAAGTTTTGCATAATATTGTTGTATACATATGGTGTCAATTTCTCAGCATCAATGATAATTGTATTTAAATTGACAATATTTATTACTATTATTTGTGTTTATTATTAGCATGACAAAATTACTGGATGCTGATTGGTTGAGATGAGTACAATTATTTCATCAATTGTACTGCAGTACAAATAATAATTTTCCCAAAACAAACAAAATGGCGGAAAAGTATTTTAAACACAAATGTGAAATGAAATTGCCCTAGAGGAACTAGATGAAAATACGAACAAAAGCACCAAATTTTGCTTTAACAAAAGAACTAAATGAAGATACGAATAAAAGCACCAAATTTTGGTTGAAAGTCTGGCAGGACTGAGCTTTGGCGAGAGAATATGATGTTGACATTGAGAAGTACGTATCCAATTAGCAACAGAAGCGAAATGAAACTTTATGCCTCTGGCAGGAATCGAACCTGCGGCTCTGCGATTCCGGTGCGGCGCTCTAACCAACTGAGCTACAGAGGTCAGTTGTCGAGCTGTAAGCACAAGTTCTAGGGTGCTGCCATGTGTAGGTTATGTGTAAACATCAGGATTTTGTTGGCATCTCACTCCATTGAATATTAGTTGAAGGATATTGTAGATGGAAATTATCGAGTGGAAAATTATATACATTTAATAGACTGGTTAGAGCGCTGCACCAGAAACACATGGCCGCAGGTGCGATTCCTGCCCGGAACCTATAAAGTTGCATTTTTCGCTTCTGTTCCTGTTTAGGTCTCGAACAGCAAAACCAAAGTGTTGTGTTCCGACGCTCTCCGAATAACTTAATTAAAATGGACTGTGCCATCTATCGAGATTTTGTTGGCATCTCAATCAATTCAGTAATAGTTGAAGGCAGAGGAGGGTGGAAGCTCTTCCCAGCATGCATTGCAACTCATTAATATTCACAATCATGATTTTTCACAATGTTAGTTGGAAAAGTTGTGGATATTTATTTCGATATTTCGCCACAAAAAGTTCGTATTTTTGAAGGTAAGTTTTTATAATTGTTTTAAATATGAGTCAAATTGACGATTAAAACTTCATTTGGTGTTTTAACAACGTTTAGTTAAATGTTAATCGCAATTTGTATTGACCTGTTTTCCAGGTCAATGCACAAGTGTCAAAAGTGGCTTTCAAAACCGCTGGGGACAATTGGGTTTATAAATGAGTAAATTAAATAAAAGACACGCCATCGTATTCAGGAAGAGTTGTTCTTTCTATGAGAAATTTAAAAAATGAATTGTCCCCATCAAACTGACGAGTAATCGCGGTTTGAAAATGGGGCATTTTCAGTATACTATGTCGCCCATCGCGGGAATAATCGAATTATGGCGCGAGGAAAATTACTGTACGAGTCGTTATTATTTTTCTTTTATTTCGAAGCATGGGCATATATGTCGATCGTTCTTAAGTTTAACTGCTGCATTTAAGTTAAATACACTGTATTTTACCATTATTTTTATAGAATTCGAATATATTTTGTGAAAATGGAATCTGACAATGATGGCAATGTTGTTTATATTGTTGATCCTAAGTAAGGGAGAAGTTCAACTTATTAATTTAATGCTGATTTAGAACTGTTACTGAACAAACTGTTCCTACATCTTGCTTTGGCAAATGGTATAACATCTAATCCAGCCAAGTTGTGCTCATGATCCATTCAAGCAATGAAACTATTGAACCAGACAGTCCACAATAATAAGAGCAAACCTGTTATATAAATTTGCCCATACCAGCCTTAGATACATATTTTGGTATGCACACATGTAAATATTGGTGTATTGGTGACATGAAAATGTTGCAACGAATCTTAAGTATTTACTTTATATATTGTAACTTTGAATAAAGCATTTTATTAACATCAATTGTGTATGACCACTGCATTATGACCACCAAATATCAGGGATGGATTTACTGGGGTGTGTGCACCCCCCACCTAGCCCTGGCCAGAGGGTATGCAGGGGGGGGGGCTATTTTCATGATAAAGCAAAAAATATTAGAGACAAAATGAGTAATTTGAGCAATAACATGATGATAAGTAAACTGTTTGTTAACAACAATTACAATACAGTAGTCAAGCAAGACTTTGCTATAGTCAAGTAAGTTGATGGGTGGGCGGCATCCTCGTTCCCAGGGCTTCTCGGCTGCCTGCGTTGCCGTAAGCCCTGGGACAAGCCAAACCGGAACACCACAAATTCTGGTGTTTTCCGGAAGTAAACGCGTTCTGCTGCAAGCTAAAAATGCTGACTATGCACTAATTCTTACTGAGGAGTGGAGACGTGTTGGTGAGCAGAAATTATTGGATTTTTCTTTTGTTTCGATGTATTTTCCACCATCAAGAGAATATGTGCAGACCACCTAATGGAATTATACATATTGGGGTTTTATATTTCGTTATATCGTTAATATTCGTCAAAATGCAACCATATTTCGGTTTCGTATTACATGTATCAATTTTCATGTATAATGTAAACATGATCGAGTCGAAATGTGCTCGAAGTGGCCGCTGTGATTCGAAACATCATGGGTTGAACCCATTGGGTTCTTGTACAGATGACCTGTTTCAACACGCACTTGTAAAGTCACTTCAAAGACCGGACAAAGCCGGACTGGAAATTAAAGAGAAGTAATTCGAAGCTTTATCGTCCATCGTATGTTGTATATTAAAAGGAACAAGAACGACATGTGACATGTGAGTCTGTTTACTGGGTTACAACAACGACAATAACAATGAATCACCTAACATTTCAAGAAAATATAAATTATAGATAGATGTCATGTATGACGCCATGAGTTTTGGATTTGAATTGCTAGAATTAAATCTATGTTATGTATACAAAATCATGCGTGCGTAAATTTGAGCAAAAAAGCACAAGGTGTTTGTTTGGCCATATGCCCATCATGTAGTATGAATATTGAACACCGTTTTACTGTATATAGCACGTTTAAAACGTTATTTCCATGCAGGATAATCCTGAATCCTTCACCGATTACATGCCATGGCAAATGAAGAAAAATAATTATGTAAAATAATTAACCTAATATGTCTTTGGCCATGAATGCAACTCACTATGCTGCTTCATGATACATCTGACAGTCAAAAACTATGTGCATGACTGTATGGCTCAATGTATGTTAATTGTTTCAGGGAAATTTTTGTTTTCAGATTAAAGTATAACAATATTTTCTGCATTCCAATATATTTTAATCTACATGCAAGTGCACCTTCTGTTTCAGATAGGGGCCAAATCATTTGAGGCCGAATGGGATAGCCAATGACTGGAGGGTAATGTTAGCAAATTTGACTCCCATACATAATGTCAAGTTATCACTGGTCAATTTTTAAATTTCTTACAATTTCACATCGGGGAGTTCATTGCCCCCTCATTATCCAGAAGTGTGACTAAGTGTTTTCTAATATCTATCCAGGGGTCCAATCTAAATCTCCACCACAACAGGATGTATACCTGAGTGATGGTAAGGGAGGTGGGGTTAACATTCTGATTTATCAATAGATTACTACACATTTCCACATTAAAAATATGAAACGTTTTCCAGTTCAATAGACTGTATCTATAGCAGGAGGCTTAAACCAGAATTTTAGAATACAAAGCAACTTTTATGTCATTTTTGTAATGGTTTAAAATCAATTTTTATACAGACATGGTAGGGTGTCTCCTGGCTAGAAGCCTGCATATACATATACAAATTTTCAGTTTTGTCAATAATAATAGTTTATTTTATAATTTCAATTCTTACAAGATTTGCAATAAGTCAACAGAATAAGCATTCTATTCTGAACTGTTGACAGGAAACAGTGTAAATTCATGATCTCATCCAATATGACACAAGAATTCGAGACCCCCACCTCGGGCATACCAGGGGCATTCACTTAATTTGGTGTGTGAAATTCAGTGAAGTCCCCTGCAGCCAGGACAAAATGGCAAGGTAAATTTCTTCGGTCCTATCATCCTCAGGTATTCAATTAGAATTTTTACATGAAATTTCCCAAACCATTCCTTTACTGTTCTGTAAAAGCCTTTCCTAGCCGACTGCTTTATTTCAGCATTTATATAAAAGACTACGCCTTTCCTAGCCAAATGCTTTATTTCAGCATTTATATAGCCAACTGCTTTATTTCAACATTTATATAAAAGACTAAGTGACCCCCCCCCCATGACCTCACTCATTCCCAACTTGGACACTGAAAGTAAGTGTCTTCCCTGTTTGCCAAGAAATGATAAACCAGTGAATTAAGAGGCGATTGTCCTTGCATTCCCCTCTGGTATGCCAAAGGTGCAAGGATTCAAATGACTGGTGAAATTGAATATGCTTATAAGCTTATTCACTGTATTTAATTAAAAGCTATTAAAATTACTCACTAATACTACAACTGAGGAAAATTCAGAAATAGTAAAATACATCCATAATATTCCATATGCTATATTTATAAATTCCAATTGGCCATTTTAACATAGGGCCATTTTAATATAGGCGGGTATTAAATAGGCCAAGTGACCAATACCAAAAGCATAATAATTAATAAAACACAATACATTACACCATTAAAACTTTACTATCGTAACTATATATTTTTAAACATTTTATATTTACAGTGTGCTTAAAATTTTACAATTATACTTGAGCACAATGTTTTAATAATAGACAACTTTATAACAAGAAAATGTTAAAATGAAGAAACTTTTTAATGGCTTCATAATTGACGTTTCTTCGATATTGTTGCTTACTTCTACTTTATAATTGTCCATTCTGTTATTTTCTTTCTTTCTGTTTGCAAATTATCTCCATTAATCCATAGAAAACAAGCAGTTTACGTTTGTATTTCTTCGTATTTCGAACGCGCACTCCTTGAAGGCAGCCATATTGCAAATTGCAAATATAAACATCCACTTGACGAATAAACTTTTCATATTTCACTCTATTTCCAACGACCAATCAAATCACATCTGCTTCGGCTTGTCCCAGGGCTTACGGCAACGCAGGCAGCCGAGAAGCCCTGGGAACGAGGATGGTGGGCGGCGCATGTGACTGACAACAACTCGGCACCAGAGCTGGCAGAGCACCCGCCCTACCACATCATACTGGATCCATCTTTAGATCAGTGATCTATCTGTGCTAAATATACAACAGTTAAAGAACACATGCACAAGGTGGACTATAAGATAAAGTAGGGATTTGATAACTGCAGTAAACAAACACAGCAAATTGAGTTTGAAAACATTTATTTATTTGAAAAAGGAAAGGTAAAATTATATTTAACAATTATTCGCTGAAGTGATTATCGGGGAATATTCGCCGAGACGAAGTCGAGGTTTAGTATTTTTGCACAAGTTTTTTTGTGTTTTTCTGGTCTGAATTCATTTTAATTTCGCTTATTTCTTTATTACTACTAGTTAACTTCAACAAAACGGCTAGGCGCCATTTTGAAAATTTAGATGGTGAAAATAACAGATTAATATGTCAAATTTGACCAATCACCTTGTAGGATTTGTTATGTTCACTTGTGCAAAAATACTAATACCAAATATTTACCTGAAATAATAACAGTGTTTTAATAGGAATAAATTTATATGATAATCTCAACTAAAAATGTCTTGCTCATGTTCTACTTTAAATTTCAACTTGATATTTTTTGATCATCTATACATGATTATCACAAGTTGGTATCTTTGTTCTCGCCAGAAACCAGCTACAACAAACTTCTCAGGATACAAAGTGTCCTCCACAATCCTTGTCTTAATTCTCAGGATACAATGTGTCTCCTCCACAATCCTTGTCCTTCAGAATCCTTGTCTCCATCATTTTCCTGATCACAGCTTGAATCATTCATGTATTTAGCATCACCAGTAGCCTGTTCCACACCCAACAATTGGGTCAACTGCTGAATTTCATCAATCTTGTCCATGTCTGCAACTCCACCTTCTGCACCAATGCTTTCAACATCACCAGGCATCTCTTCAGCATGAATTTTACCCAAACACATAGGATTTAATGGCTGCTTAATGCAATTGCATAACAATGGCTCATCTAAATTCACCAGTGGTAGGTCATTCAGTATATCCTCTAAAATATCCAGCTTGGGTGGTCGGATTGTTACAGAAGTTGGTGATGGAATAATGTTAAACTCCTACAACAGAACACAACATAAGTAATACAGGTAAAAAAGATTTGATGCGTTTATACAGGGACGTTGGAACAATAAAAAGGCAGGGCACATTTATAGACCTACAATTATGTGTTGACTTGCCAATGAAAGCCTGATTGTGCATGTTCCATTGACGATAGCTGTTCTGTGTTCTGGTAATAAAGTCTACTCAAGGAACTGGAGCTGCACAAACACACTTAATTAATCAGGTCACATTCAAGTTCACACCTCATGACTTTGCCCAAAACTGGAGATACGATTTAGCACGATTTAGCACGATTTAGCAGGCAGAATTTCTATAACTCAAAGTGCACTTCTGCCCCCTTTGCCCCTCCTCCCTGCTTTTATATTAAAATAGATTTGACTCATTTGATATAAAGTCAAATACTTGTGTGATTTCCGAGTATAAATGGCCCATTTTCCCACCAATTAAATCATAAAATAATCGTACCTTAAGGTCACAACTAGAATAGATTTCTATCAATGAAGGACTATCGCATTCGGCGAACATATAATATCTTCAACTTTTACGCCAATGTCGTTATCCATAAAACTAGGTAGAAGTTCGACATCCCTTCAGCAGCTCCAGTCGCTCTTTCGACACACAATGTACATAAAGTATTAAAGATTGTCACGTCCATCCAAATCAGTAGCTTTGTTGCCACGAACAGTACGAAAATTCGCCATAATTTACAATTTTCAATTTGTACTTTTGAATACCGCTCCTTGTAAATTGAGTAGTGAACACAACGAGAGCTAGTCGAACAATGACGGCGCGTCCCGGGAAATCGATAATATTAATGACTTACAATGCATGCCGGGAAGGGCTTTCAACCTCCTCTGAGTTGAAGGGGTCTTGTAGATGGAAATTATCGAGTGGAAATTTAAACACATTTATCAAACCTAACCAGGAACAGCCACGAAAAATGCGTTAGGTCTCTGGCAGGAAACCTGTAAGTTGCATTTTCCGCAGGTGCTCCTGGTTAGGTCTTAATAAATGTATTTAAAAACTCAATAATTCATGAAGAAAAGACAAAGGAAATCACTGCCGTGTCGTTTTATATACAGGGTTCGAAACAGCAGCCTGCGACAGCCAGCAGTTTTAGGACCTTGCCGGTGATTTTTAATTTCAAAGCCTAGGAGATCGGCCAAAATATTTATTCACCGATGGCTCGCTTACAATAACACGTACATATAATTAACAGTTATATACTTAAATATTATCATAACATCGACTTTGTCTTGTATTTCCCCTTTGCCCATTAAGCTGCAGTCCATTTCAGGGTCGAAAAGTCAGGATCCTTTCATTGCAGTATTAGTATTGTCGCCATGACACCATCTTTGTTTTCAAGTTGTACACGCGTAAAAACGCTCAGGTTGATGCAATACTGATGAAAACAGGATTGAACAATGTTTTGCTGCCCACATTGTTCATAGCTGTCAACAATATTGAACAATGTTGTTACACCCGATTCAGGCTCAACAATACTGTTCAATATTGTTGACAAGTGTGAACAACGTGGGCAGCAAAACATTGTTCAGTCCTGTTGAGCAACGGGCTCGGCGTTTTTTGCCGTGTAGTGGTGCCCGCGTTTCGCTGTATATAGCGGCTTCATTAGTTAGTCTTACATACTAACGCAAGTCGTGCATTACGTCATGATGACGTTTCCCTTTGCTTGATCGGCAACATTACAAGTGCCAACATTAAGACGGGTAAAACAGTGAGCGAAAATAAACGACAGCTTAACAATGAGGACTGTATTCAGAAATTCAAATACAAAGAAAAGAACAAGAACAATGCACTTCGCCGAGGACAGCATGAAGTATAACCTACACAAACTACATGAGGCGAGTTGTGCGGGCGCACCACTATATAACAACAGCAATAAACTATGACGAAGCTTAAAAATTTGAATTTGATAGACATATTAAAAACTCATGAATATTGATGTCGGGTCGGGAAGTGAAAACAGCCTTGAGAATTGGGAAAAGACGAATAAGTATCTTCGACTTGATGCAGCAACAAGAAAGATATTGACTTGCGATGTTTGGGTTAAATGGAAAGCCAAACTTCCTGGGACAAACGCCTTTATTACTGGGTCTACCAATTTAAAGTCATCGGCTGTTACAGGACACGTTAAAAGTAAATTTCATAAACAAGCTTTGCGACTTGAAGAACAGGAACCGGCAGCCACCGAGAACAAAAATGTGCGAGTGCAGTTACCGCCAGTGCCACCTGATGCTCCCATTGCCCAGACAATCAGCAATATGGGAACGCTTACACCTGAAGAAAGAAGCGCCATGCAGAATCTCTTTGACATTGCATGTATGATAGCATACAAGGGACGGCTTTATTCTGATTTCGTTGATCACGTAGAGATTGAAAAGTTAAATGGAATGCAGTTTATGTCCGGAGGTATGTACCTACGAGAATGACAAAGGCTGCTTGCTATTGATTCCTTTTGCAACAAAAGCACTATACGAGAGTCTGGTCAAGGATAAAGTCAAGAGAACAAATTTTGTAACTGTGTTAGCTGACGGGGTGACTAATGCGGCGTGTGCATAGAGAAAGAAGTCATCTATATTCTTTTTGTAGATCCAGATGACTTTAAAGCTTCACTTGCTTTTCTAAGTTTGAAATCGGTGGAATCGCAAGATGCGCAAGGGATCACAGGCGCTATTATCGATGCCTTCAAGGAATGTGGTTGTTGTAGGTTTGGGTTCAAATTTAGGCGGATAAATTGACAAGAAGTCACACAAACAAAAGTACAAAAAAACTATGTTTCGACAACCTTGAACATTATGATATGAAGTATTTATAGCTATGGAACCGGATGTGACGTGAGCACGCAAATCACAACATCCCATCTTCTCTAAAAAAAACTTCTGTTTTTTCTTCTTAAGGCTGTTCAATTACGACTACCTAAATAAATGTTCAAGTAAAAGTAACCTATGATAATATTCTAGTAATAACACTATAGATAATGTTCACAAGTTCAGTCTTTCAGGCATTTTGCCCTTGTTTTTTCGACTTGACAGTCGAAGCTCAGGAGCAGCGACAGCATTCGCTGTACTTTGAACTGCGGGATCTTCACTGGTTGACATTTGATTCGTTGCATCATCAGCTTGTAAATCCTTACTTGTAGCGGAAACGTCAGACGGAATGTTATCACTGAGCTGGATTTCACTGTCACCGCTAAAACTTTCACCAGTTGGATGAAGATGTTTTCTGTTTCTTCGCAGGAATGAATCTCTTTCTGTCTCTACCACATACGACCGAGGGGTAGACGCTACACCTTGTATAGTACCAGGCTGCCAGACTTTAGACCCAGGATCAAAGAAGCGAACAGGACTGCGTGCTGGAAGTGTGGGCAAAGACTTTGATGACTTGTCATACAGAATCTTTTGCTCGTTTTGCCGATGTTGTAACTTCACATTGACATCAAAACTACAAGCTTATGGGATACGCGACCACACGCTCAAATGGTTCCAATCGTATTTAGATCAAAGAAAGCAAATTTGCATGCTAAATAACTGTAAATCTGATATTGAAACAATTCGTTGTGGAGTACCTCAGGGTTCAAATCGTGGACCTCTATTATTTCTCATTTACATAAACGACCTCCCAAACTGCCTAGAAACAACACATTCTAATTTATTTGCTGATGACACAATTTTATCATGTCAAGGGCATTTATCCATAGATATTGAATACAAACTTAACAAAGACCTAGTAAATGCTCAAAAATGGTTATCAGCGAATAAACTAACATTAAACAATGAAAAAACCAAATATATGATTATTGGATCTCGGCAACGATTGAAAAACTTAGATCACGTGCCAAAAATCAGTATAAACGGACATCAAATTGAACGAGTTAATAAAAAGGAAGCTTTGGGTATAGTTATAGACGATAGACTTAGCTGGAATAGGCAAAATGAAGAACAATGCAACAAGATATCAAAAAATATTAATCTTTTAAGAAAAGCCAAAGATTTTGTTGGCCTAGATACGCTCAAAATTATGTATAACGCATTAGTCGCGCCTCATTTTAACTACTGTTCAACTGTTTGGCAAAATAACAAACAAACACACTTAAACAAATTATATAAGCTTCAGAAACGAGCAGCAAGAATAATAACAAATTCGGACTATACTATAAGATCTTCGGACATTTTTCAAAAACTTAGCTGGAAACCTCTTGACTTAGTTTTGAAAAAGCGAGATCTCCTTATGACATTTAAAGCGATTAATGGCATGTTTCCAGAATACGTAACACAACTATTTCACACTTGCGAAAACAATGGTTACGTACTGCGCAGTAGTAATTTAAAGCTGTCTCAACCTAAACCAAAAACGAATTTCTTGAAAAATAGCTTTTCGTACAGAAGAGCAGCGTATTGGAACAACATCCCAGTAAACTTGTTGAAAACCCTAAGGGAGTCAACAAGTTTAAAATCTGTCCATCATCTATTAAATAATTACATCTTGTAAATAAGTAAATAAGTATATTTTGTAAATAAGTATAATTTAGTTTATTAGTTCCTTCTTTTATAATGCATTTATTTTCCGCACGGCCCTTTGAAAATCACCTATGTGAAAGGTTACCGTGTTTAAAGATCAATAATAATAATAATAATAATCTCCGCTAGCAGAACACCATGGTAGATTGGTTTAGTAGATTCTGGAGTTTAATAGTTCTTCAGGTGATGGAAGATCGTGACTCAGGGGAGTGCTTCGCAAGCACAGCATAGCTAAGTGAGGACCAAGGTTAGATTCCTTGCATTTCTGCAACAATCGTTTCACCGTCTGTACTGCTCTTTCACTAGGACCATTAGATTGAGGGTACATAGGACTTGATGTAACGTGTGTAAAACCATACGCACGACTAAATTCTTGAAAGGTAGATGAGGTATACTGTGTGCCATTGTCGGAAATCATCTTGCTTGGAATACCATGTTCCTCGAAGATAGCTTTGAGATTGCCAACAACAGTCGATGATTGGAAGTTTGGTAGTTTGCGAATGACAGAGAATTTGCTATAATAATCAGTGACAAGCAGATAATCAGCATTGTTCCAATGAAAGATAACTGAGCCCAGGGTATACCAAGGTCGTGGAGGAATATCATGTGACACAAGGGGTTCCTTAGTGTTCAAATACTGCCGCCAATGCGAAGTCTTTTCTGCAGTGTTTTAATAATTAGTAGCCTGCATGCAGGAAGCACGCGAAAACCGGCAAGACTTGCGGTTCAAATTCCCCACCCTTATCAAATACCCCACCACATGGAAGACTTAGAACGTCAAATTCCCTATTCCCTGGAGAAGACTTGAAGTCAAATCCCTAGGATATGCCCGGGGGGGGGGGGGGGGGGGGATGTTGAAGTTTCGAATTGATCGGTACATTACGATACGCGAGCCTTTCAATATCAGACCATTTGATACAGTCAACTCGTTCCGATAGTTCCAGTATGGATAGAGGTATGCCGGACATTCTGACCTTTTCCCCGGCCATCATTCTGAGATAATCTTGCAAAGAACGCTCAAGGTTACGTCCTTCATGGTTTCTTCTTGGATCTGAGGTACTCTCGTAGGACTAACATTGAGACTTAGGAGGACTTCGTCGACGGTCACGTCCAGACCAGGAAGAATATCACCACGACAGGAACTTTTTCAAGATTAGGGCACCAGCTACTGGTACGTCCTTACCAAGTACATACTGTACTTGATTTGCACATCATACGTCTGGATTCTAAGCATCATTCGTGAAATGCGAGGTGTTGCGCTGGCAAGATGCTTCTTAAATATAGCTTGGTGATCGCTATGAATAACAACATGTCTGCCATATACATAATAGTGGAACTTCTCGAAACCAAAAAGAACAGCAAGCATCTCTCGTTCAATAATATGCATGAGTCAATGTAAACGCCGACCCCACCCCGGGACAGGGTGGGGATTTGACTTTGACCTTGTTCTAATATTTGCAAATGCCCCACATCCTGGGAACTATCAAAGGTTCCGAATGTCAAAAAATGTCCGCTGTACCTGGGGCCTTCGCCCGTAAATTAAGAGTTTTTAATTCAACACTGCTAAAACAGTTTACATTTCAAATAACTATGTATGGACTGCAATGAACCACTATGAATTGCATTTGAAAAAGGTATGGTACAAAAAGCACACAAAGCAAAGATAATACAAGCTAGACGACAAAACGTTACTTGAGATGAACAACCGCTGAAAAATAGACAACTGGCTCATTACTAATAATCCCTACCCAATCCCCATACCCTGGGGATAAATAAATTCTAAAAGCTTCAAATCCCCCACCCTCTTGGGAGTGTTTTCTGATCTAAACCCCTACCAATCCCCTATTAACTCTCAACCTGGTCCGGGGCGGGGGGTTTACATTGATTCATGCATTAGAGTATCGAGTCCCCGTCTCTGTTAGAAGCTTGCTTGCAAACTCTACTGGACCTAGTCCTGGAGGAGGACGGCTCCAATATCGCGCTGCGATGCATCCACTTGGATCGTAACAGGCGACTCAGGAATTGCATCATACCAAGAAATGTTCGAAGGTCAGCAACAACGTTTGACGGATCCATGAAACGAATAGCCTCAACTTTCTTCTAGTCAGGTCGAAGACCATCTGCACCAACAACATGACCAAAGAAGGGTATACTAATAGATTCGCATCTAATTTGGCATTTTTCTATGTTTAACTTCAGGCCAGTTTTACGGGCACGCTGCATGACTGCATGCAGGTTCTCATCATGGTCACTATGGTCGCTCTTGTAACCATACACTATGATGTCGTCAGCGATTCCGGTCACACCAGTTAAACCACTGAAGGTTTCGTCGACCTTTATTTGGAAGATATCTTGTGCTGTAGTTTAGGGTAATCAGATTCAAATCAGTAGATGTTGGCAACCCAAGAATTGTAGGTCCAACAGTGTCTACCACATGAAAGACATAAGGCTTAGGGTGATGTTCATGCGACGAGTTCAGAACACAAGTTTCAAAATGGCGGACAGAATGACCACCATAAGCAGTGATAACTGTATTAGGTGTTAAATTCACGAGTACACCTTTGGCATTACATGATATGGTTGGATGCAGCTTCTTATATGTGTCTACAGAAATGACATTACCTTCTGCACCGGTATCCACTTTGCACCAAAATGCTTGGCACCTTTAGATGAGTTCACCTGTACTTGGACGTGTGCTTGAGTGTTGCTCTTTTACATCTGATTAACCGATAAGGTATAAAAATACAACTGATCCACCACTGGTGTTGCTGGGGAGCCACTGGAATCTGCATTCTCAGTCTGGATGGCATCAATCTGCTTTTGCTTGTTTCTCGGCTTATCTTGACTTTCAAGTCTGTTGTTTTTATTTCGAAAGGGGTTCTGCTTCGTTAACTTCGAACGACACACTCTTTTCCAATGATTTTCCTCACCACAATGCCTTGCAAACTGTGCCATACGCAGGACATAAAGATATATCTGAAATATCATGCTCAGTACCACAGTTCCCACACATGCAAATGGGTGGACGTCGAGGCTTGGTGTATGGCCTTCGAGAATGCTTCAAGGCATCTATATAAGTTGAACTTATACTTTTCATTTGGTTATTTGTAACTTCCTCAGTTCTGGCAATTTCTAAGGCACGGTCTAAGGTCAGAGTTTTATCATATTTCAAATGTTTTGACTGTGTACGTTTTGACGACGAGCCAAAAATAAGAGCGTCCATGATATGTTCATCAGGGTTTGTAAATTGACCCTCATCAATAAGTATTCTAATCCTTTTAACAAAACAATGAACAGTCTCACCTGGCTCTAGTTTCGTTGTTCGTAGCTTGAACCTGGAAAGGCGAAAGTTGCTTTTTGGAGATAGGTACTGCTCGAACCGTGTCAAGTGTACATCGGGTTTCTTCTTGTGGCCTGCACTAAGACCTCATGCTGAGACCAATTCAATGCCATCGCCTCCAGACCAAATTAGCAGGTAGTTGACTTGTTCTTCCTCCGTTTTTTCTTTTAACGGACCATTGAAGTATAACTGACATCGGGCTTTGAATTTCTTAAATGCTTGAGGTGCATCAGGCGCATGCCAGTCGATACTTGGTATCGGCAAACCAGAAAGACCCGCCATCTTGGATTTCAACGAATTAATTTAGCACAGATTTAGCGACAATAGCACCGGCCTGGTGTAATAAACTTTGTCACCAATCAAAGCTAGTGTTTTCCAAACACACCTGACGCCATGTTGTAGGTTTGGGTTCAAATTTAGGCGGATAAATTGACAAGAAGTCACACAAACAAAAGTACAAAAAAACTATATTCAACAACCTTAAACATTATGACATGAAGTATTTATAGCTATGGAACCGGATGTGACGTGAGCATGCAAATCACAACAGTGGTATTGAAGAGAAACAGCAGAGGGTTGTCTTTTTCGAGTCTGATGGTACTGCAGTCCATTCAAGTTTCCGAGCTGGTGTCATTTCTCTACTACATCGAAGGTTTGGCAGGCACATCAAGTTCTTTTGGTGCAAGAATCATTGACTTGAACTAGCTATAAAGGACGCGATTCAGAACGACATGGAAGAAGTGAAAACTGCATTGCGGGATTTATACTACATTTATTGGAACTCTGGAAAGCGACTGAGAGAACTGAGGAGTTTGCATGAAATCCTGAAAGAGATGTACAGCTTTGAGAACAGACATGTCAAGCCTTCCCAAATCGAGCGGTACCCGGTGGATTGACCATAAGTTACGAGCCATGAAAGCTTTCGTTGACAAGAGGGGATTGTATTTGGCTCACATTCAGAACGTCATTGCAGATACAAGTAAGCAGCATGTCAAGGCGACTCTTGAAGGAAAAGGCGGCGCATAGCAAAAGCTTCCGTGTTGCTAAAATCTGCAATGTATGTTGATATCATGGAACCATGGCCAGCTAGGCTACTTTCCTTGGTCAATCAGAAGACAAGCAAAGTTGACATCGTCAAGCAAGTTGATGCAGTTGACAAAACCCTCAAGAAATATGAGATTATGAAGCGTAGAGCAGAAGAATCAGATGCGACTGCTACGTCCGTGTTGCAAACTGTGAAATACGCGCTCTCTGTGATCGAAGAGGAAGGCCTGTCTGCTGTTAGCCAACAACATCAGTATCAAGGTATTGCTGTAACACATCTCCAGCAGGGCAAGGATGCAGTTAACTTCTTGATGCATATGTCGTAGCCATCTACCAGTCACTGGCGCGCCGTTATGGGAGTTTAGTGCATGACGAAGGTGACTTGTCCAAAAAAACAAAGGATGCAGATGAAGTACCACACAGCGTCGCCAAGCTCTTGACTACTCGCGTTTGGATGAAGGATGCGACTGAGGACAAGCTGTCGGTACAAATGGAAGCAATCTCCAATGTTTTCGAGAGTTTCAAAGACGTCGACCCACTACGCCATATCAGTAAAGAACTTTTGCAGGAGCAGTATGTAGTGTTAGTGCAGTGGGCAACCGCATACTTTAACGTGGCTGTTATCGATTTCATGGACCTGTGGCCAATGCTCTGGAAGATAAAGCTGGAGGAAGCACGAGAACTGTGTGGGCACTGATCGAGCTGTGTCTCTGCTGCCCGTACGGCAATGCAGTCTGCGAGTCGTTCATCTCATACTTGCGTGTAGTCAAGACTGACTGGCACAACAGGTTGAACGAACGCAACTTGACTGATTTAATGCGCATTAAAGTGACAGGGCCAACCCTGCACGTTTTCCGTGAGCTTTTTGGTGAGCTTGCTGTGGACCTCTGGAATAGTGAGAAATCACGGAGGAAGACCAAAGGGAAACGAAAGCAGTATGCATGCTGCAAGAGGAAAAGCATCAAAGAGGACAAGAGAGACAGAGAGGCAAGAGTTCCTAAGAGATTGGTTGAAAGACGTTGGAGCTGAGGGCAAAGAAGAATCGGAGAGTGAGGAAAATGAAGAGGAGATGGAAGCTGATGTATCAGAGCTTGATGGTTCTGGTTGAATTAAATTCAAGGTTTGGTTACGTATAATAACGTATAATGCCATGCCTAACATATACATGTTTGGGAAATTGATAATTTTCTAATTAAAAATGATATTTTCAGGGGATTTTTACTCGCTGGGGCACCCTGTGCCTCAGACGAGTATAGGTTTCGGTTTGCATTTTTCTTGGATCGTCGATAGCCACAAAATAGAATATTAATGAGCTGCCTAATTTTCCCCCCAATTATCCATAAGGCTCCTGCCAATTTTATCCAAATTACCCATAAATAACCCTGCATTTTGAGGAAAATTCGGGAAAATTAAACAATTTTACAAGGAATTTCGACATGAAAACAGCAACCTTCGCAAATCGCAAGTTACGTTTGGCCACAGTAGTTTTGGCTGCGCTGCTTTATATTTTGAGAAGAAAGCGACACCGTTCGATTCAGCGTAAGAAATTGTACTTACGGATGTCAAATGTATTACTAAGCACCAATATTCTAGCGATTTATGGCCTTTGAAAATCAAGCGAAATTGTATTGTTGACAAATCGCTCGCAGTACGTTTCATAGTGTATTTGTAATGCCTAATGGCGCAATGGCCAATAAGGATAAAAATACCACCGTTCGATTCAGCGTTAGAAATTGTACTAATTGCGGATGTCAAATGTATTACTAAACAACAGTATTCTAGCGATGTATGGCCTTTGTCTTTGAAAGCCAAGCGGAATTGTATTGTTGACAAATCGCTCAAAATTATTAAACTAGTACATCCGATCCTTGATAACTTTGGTATCATTGGTTTTCTCTTTTTCGGCCGTATACAAGTGGATTCGTCTTACTTCTCTCTTCATTTTGATAGTATTTTGAACGTTTTAACTCGCAGTTTACTCCTAGCATACTGGCGGCTGAGAGTCTTGAAGAATGTAGCGTACTAAATAAAACTTTCCTTGTAGGGCCTACCGCATTTTAGTACTGCATGTGTTAAGCCTTTCGCGTTCGTACTCGACTTTTCTGCTTAGCTCGGGGAGAACCTTAGATCTTAATGGACCATTTGCATTATAGACTAAATTTTGATCTAAACAAAAATTTCATCACAGCTTGAAAGAGCATCACAAAATTAGTAATATTCCAAAGTTTCGTTGCGAAATGTTGTAAAATGCATATAATATAGCCATGCGAAGTTTGTCGTTTTTCAGTCATTTTGTATTACGCACGGGAAATTGACAGCCCAATCGGGTGTTGGGGCATCAATTTCCCGTTTGTAATCTAAAA